TATATATATATATATATATATATATATATATATATGAAATTGTTTTAAAGAGCATTCTTTAGACTTGTAATTACATCTGCTATGCTTTAAAGTGTGCAACTATAATTACAATGAGAAAGAGCAAGGTTAGAAAAAACATTCTGGTGAAAAGTTCATCATCATTTCGTGGTAATAACTTGCCACTAAGGCCTCCGCAGGCACAGACTCAGCCCAGGTGTCCGTGACTTTGAGGTGACTGTAGGCATTCAGGAGGACCTCAATGGTGGATGGAGAGTCGGAGCAGTGCTTCAGAACCTGGAACCCATCACAACGCTCAGCAGATCAGGCAAGATTCGTGGAATAATTTAAGTTCGTGAGCGAGCTTTGTGACTCCAAAGAACTGAAGAAATAAAGTAATTAAACACTTGTGAAATGAACAGATTGGTCTTCCCTCTGGGGGTTTAACTGGAAATTATGCAATTAGTGCTAATTAATCTCCTATTAACACTTGCCTAATTAGGAAGCAGGCATTTTGTCTAGTGCACGTGGGTTCGCTGATAGTTGTAGTCTGTTTCCTGCAGAGAGTGCCACACATCGTGTTGTGTCATGGAATTGGAGTGATTTGAATGTGAATTTGAGAAGTCTCCTATGTGTTTCAAGACTCCTAATCTGTTCCATGTGCAGCACTTGCTAATTATGCAAAATGAGCCACCTTGATGAGTAATTTGTTCACACCATAAATGCAATAAATGACTGTAAATCATCATGAACTGCATTGTTTAAATGCTTTTGCGCGTGTTATTGTTTTACTTCGACGTTAGTTTCATACCACAGGGAGGGCACCAGGCCACACTCGGATCGAGCCATGGTTCAGCAAAGCACGAACAATCCTCTCAGGACGATGTGCAGCCTTGTAGCACACCACCTTCAGGATCTTGTGCATGGGAGCTTCACCGTCATAGTCCATGTTGTTAACGGAGGCTCCGTTGGCCAGCAGCAGATCCGCCACATCTGGGTTTGCGTTCTTACAGGCCATGTGCAACGGAGAGTGTCTGTCCTGATCCACAGTCTGGACATCAGCCCCTGCCAACAGCAGCGTCTGGCACACTCGGAAGTAGCGCTCAAGTTCCCGTGCCTCCTGAGGCTGCGAACACGCCGCGTTCAAGGGAGTGAGGCCCTCATCGTTCTGTTTGTTCACGTCGGCTCCGTAGCGCAGGTAGAGCTCCACGTGGCCCAGGAGCCCGTTCCTGGCTGCGACGTGCAAGGGAGTGTCATCTTCATCCAGGCTGCGACCGCTGATTGCAGCGCCGTACTCAAGGAGATACTTGGCACATCTGGCAGCCAATTACAGAAACCAGGATAAATTAGATAGATCAGTGGATCCCCAACTTTCTTTTAATCCAACGTACCGAAATAGGCTTTTTTTTATAGTAGATGAGCTAAAGTGGTCCTTCATCACTGCAACCCATTATGTTCTAAATGGGTTTAATTAAAATTATTTCAAATTTTATGTCTTTAAACATCACTTCGCTTGATCATATTTACTGGTGGGCTGTATTTATTACAATCTTTGCAGCAGAATTCCTGCAGTAGTTACTCTTCAGCGCTTGTTTGCTCACCAATAATTGTGTTTAAAAGGCTACTTTGTTTTTTGTATGATACAATGTGTGAGTCAAAAGAGCTCAAGGTTAAGCTTAGCATTGATATTTAGATCTGTCTATTAGCTTTAAATAAACCATGAAAGCTCTATTTGGTTAATAAGTTTTTGATGCTACTGCTTTTTGGTCATGATGATTAAGTCTGTTATTTCAGGTTTGATTTGATCATACTCACTCTAGAGATTCAGGACATGTGCAAGTGTGCAAAGGCATGAGGCCATCTTCCGTGACAGCGTTTGCATTGGCGCCATACATCAGCAGCAGTTTGGTGCACTCCGGCTGGCAGTTCTCGCAGGACTCGTGCAGGGCCGTGGTGCCTCCAGGTGCCAGGTCTACGTTTGCCCCACGTTGAAGTAAAAGGTGCAGGCAGTCTGCAAATCCTCGACCGGCAGTGATGTGAAGCGGTGTTGTCAGCTCCTGCTCATACGTCAGAGACCAAAGTCCTGCAGCACGGAGCAAAGAGAACGCAGGTTTTAGGGTAAGAGCAGAAACAGCAGATCAGTGGCATCATAGCATCTTGATGTATTTCCAATGCATGTTCCATTTTCTAACAGAAAAAAAGACTTTTAAAACCTACTGAGGCTTCTGTAGTTTAACCTGAAGTTCTTCCACTCCTCTAAGTTACTGGTGTCATAAATGGCATCAGCAAGGTAGCTGTACTCGTCGTCGTCCACAATGCTGAGAAGTGTCGGCTCGTCTCCCACGAGCAGAGAGTTCCAGAACTGCAGGATACAGCCTGAGGCCTTGGCTGTGGCGATCACGTCTTCACGGTATTTCTTTGGCTTTTTCCACTTTATCTTAGGGCCCAAGTAAGCCATTTCCCTGCTAGTTTCTTTGTTTTGGGTGCGTGGTTTCTGGTGCAAGGGTTGTTTGTGCAGACGGAGCTATTTCAGGGAGGTGTCATGTGATGTGTTGACCCGCTTACCATGCCAGTGTAATTCATGGGAGCCAATGACTGCAGTATGTCAAAACTGACCTTTTTTCAACTGATCAACTGAAGTTAATCTACAATAAAATATGTTTTCATTATTAAAAAAAAAAACAAGTATATGAACATCAGCATCATCTATTGTTGCACAAAATCATTTCATGGTGTATAGTCATCACTTTTTTTTTTACATTAGGTAAAAGTTTTAGGTGAAAATTGACATAGAAATTGTTGATTTTCCATGAGTCCTAACTGAATTAATAAGTTGCAAATAAATGAAGCAACACAAAGCAACTCTAAATATATAACCATGAATGGTTTATATTAATATTGCCTCATGACCTGTGTCTATAAATAAGACATTACAGCATATTTAAAAGCTCCAGCAGAGTGAGTCGCTGCTTGAAGTTTAGCTTACTTTGAGTTTTAGACATGCACATTTCCAGAGGTACAACTTATAGATAGGATTTGTTAAATCAAAAATAGTTATAAATAGATCCTTATTAAAAATTGATGCCATTTCTTACCTTCCCCTCGAGCAACCCAACGCATCTCTCCTCCCTGTGGCTGTATGATGAGGTTTGCCGTGGATCCTCTTGGAAAAAATGTCTTCAAAGCCTCCAGGTCTCCTGTATACAACACATTTTGGATGACCACATCTTGGCAGGTGGCTGGTGGCCTGGTGTAGCTGGACCTGGGTGGTGCTCTGTCTGTGGCCTCTTTCCTCAGCATGTAGCTGCTGAGGTGATGGGAGGCCAGCTGCCTTTTGTACTTGTGCCTCTCTAACATTTCTTTGTCAAGTTCAAGTGAACGCAAGGCCGTAGACGTGAAGACGAAGCTACCTTGGGACATGCTAGATGTGTTTTCAGGAGAAAATATATATAAAAATGTATTAAGATGCCTATGATGAGTCAAAAAGACTGGAAAAAGACCTGTCACACTTCTGTTTTTGTTGTTGAACTCCCTCTGGCTGCTGTCCACTTTTAGCCTCAGCTGTTCACAGAGTTGTTTGGCTGTTCAGTACGAGACCCTCCCTGCAGTGTGACAAGTTGGGCTATTTTTATGTCTCACATGCATCCGCTCCATCTCCCATGTTTGCCTTCCAGCTAGCCATGAAGGCTAAGAGTTGCATAAATGCTCAGGTCATTTTTGGAATTATTAGTCTTTTTATTCATTTATTTTTGTAAAGTGCACTTAATAAAATACATTTTAAAGAAAACTTATATCTAAAGTAGAATTAGGAACAGCAACGACTCTTAGCATGTCTTTTATTGATAGACTGCAGGCAACAACAAAAAAAGCGATACCCAACCTGAACATTTAATTAATGTTCTCGATGTAACTGTTATAGGAAGAGCAAATTGGAATGCCCTCTTTGTAGGCCCATTTGAGTAGAAGGCAAATGTCTTTTTTCTGCTTTGTATTTTTTCCTGAGAGCACTAATGGGTTTTTATGTATCCACCAGGCTCCCTGCATTAGAACATTAGGCTGAATGAATGGCAACCGCTGTGTCACTCTGCCCCACATGTAGCATTCTGATGACAGAGGGATGGCGCATAATTAAGCTTTTTAAGCCTTCTCACTAGGCATCTGATAAACATCTCTTTTGACTGATGAATGGCCATTTTCCAGTGGTAGAAGTCCCATAGGCACAGAAAATATCTGGCAAAGGTGGCTCAGAGCCATCTTGGAGTTCTATAGAAGGTTAATCAACTTAACAAGGTTAAGTCAGGTCCTCTGGATCTCTCTTGTTAAAATGGTTTGGCTTTTATCCAAAGCTATCTGTCTGAGGAGCTGCAACAAACTCAGTATTATAAATAGCCCCTTCTCATATGGAGCAAACAGTTTGCTGGTGACAGCCATAGTTGTTCACATGCAAAAGGAGGACCATCAGCCTAACAATGGATCATTAGCACCCTGATAGCTGTTTACTATTCACAGAGGGCTGACCTGAATAACCCTGAATAACAGCATTGTAAGAGGGGGACAGTTGAACCCGGAGGCCTCCACCCCTGTTTAACGATGGGCGGTTTCTTTTCACAAAGATGGCCTCCTTTACTCCTCTCTCAAACCATCATTCCTCTCTGTCCAGGATGTGAACATCTTCCTCCCTGAAAGAGTGACCGCTGGCCTGGAGATGAGTGTAGACCACAGAATCCTGGCCTGATGATGTTGATCTTCTGTGCTGGGCCATCCTTTTGGCCAGTGGCTGTTTTGTTTCCCCGATGTAAGACTGATCACAGCCCTCCTGACACTGAACAGCATACACAACATTACTCTGTTTGTGCAGGGGGACTGGATCTTTGGGATGAACCAGTTTTTGCCGTAATGTATTTTGGGGTTTAAAAGCCACTGGGACGTTATGTTTAGAAAATAAACGTCTCAGTTTCTCTGATACTCCCTCAACATATGGAATGACCACTGGTCTGGGTTCCTCCTTTTCACCTGATGGCTGACTGGAGTCCTGTTTGGGTTTCTTCTCTGCTTTCAAGAAGACCCAGTTAGGATATCCACATTGCTCTAGAGCCTGTCTTGTGTAGGAATTCTCCTTCTGCCTGGATCCCGAGTTAGTGGGGATGCTGTCTGCTCTGTGATACAGAGTCCTGATGACTCCTAACTTGTGCTCCAAAGGGTGATGGGAGTCAAACTGCAACTACTGGTCTGTGTGGGTGGGTTTGTGGTAAACCTCAGTTTGCAAATGTCCTCTATCAGAAACAGACCTCACAGTCCAAGAAAGCCAACCTGCCATTTTTTACATCTTCTCGTGTGAACTTGATGTATTTATCCACAGAGTTGATGTGGTCAGTAAAATGTTGCACTTCCTGAAATTTAATTTTAACCCAGCTGTCGTCAACATACCTGAACCAATGACTTGGTGGTGTCCCTGAAAATGACGTCAAGGCTCTCTTTTCTACCTCCTCCATGTACAGGTTGGCAACAATAGGAAACTCCAGCACACTCATGTTTCTGCCTATAACAGGGCTATTCAACTAAATTGCTCAAGGGGTCACAGTTACTGAAAGCCAATAGCTCAGGGGCAGGACATCCAGCAGTTATTCTCAGTAAGTAAGTTTGTTTTATGATTTAAAATCTTGTTTTATTTAAAAAATGAACCCATTGGTGGGCCAAACTGAGCACACCCGTGGGCCTGATTCAGCCCCCGGACCACCAGTTGAATAGCCCTGACCTAAAATGTTGCCCCAATAGTAGGTTGACTGCAGGCTCAGTTTCAAGAGTTGATGCAGCTGCTCTGTGGAAAGCGTGGTCCTGCTGCTCAGAGTGGTGTCTGATTTTAATCTTAAACAGACCACCTCTACTGCATCATCAACAGGAATGCACGTAAAGACATCAAGGTTCATGCTCAGTCATCCAGGTAAAAAAAATCCAACAATGTTCAGTCTGGACAGTTTATTTTTTTGTTGTTGTTGAGAGACATTTCTCCCTCCATCCAAAGGGCTTCATCAGAAAGATGAGTAAAAAGTGAGGTGACATCAAAATAGACCATTGTTTCATCAGTTTCCATCACGGCATCCCTCAGATCCCTCCGGCCTCCACCCTGTTAAATAGGGGCGGAGGCCTCCGTGTTCAACTGTCCCCCTCTTACAATGTTGTTATTGCTAGTATCACTCATCCCTCTGTGAATAGCAAGCAGCCATCAGAGCAATAATGATCTGTTGCTAGGCTGATGGTCCTCCTTTTGCATGTGAACAACTAGTTTTGGCTGTCAACAACAAACCAGCCATTCCACGAGCAGGTGCTACTTATAAGACTGAGTTTGTTGCAGCTCCTCAGACTGAAGAAGTGCTTTGGATAAAAGACGAAATGTTTCAAACAAGAAGAATCCATCCAGAGATCCCGACTTAACCTAGCTTGACCTGGATTATTGAGCATGCATCAGGATATGCTAATCAACTTGTTTTGATGCGACCGTCTGTTATATTTGGTTCACAAGGCATTAAAAGTAAAACACACACAGTGGAAGGTGCATTTATCTCCCCATGCGAGAGGAATCTGAAGAGCTGCACAAAACAGGATTTGTGCCACAGGTGGAGAGCACGAGGTTTTCCCGCTTATTTTGCGTTTGAAAACACAAAAGCGTGGCTGCATGTCATCTGTACCTTAACGACTGCTCTGATATGGAAATCAGGGTCATTTATTTTATGTTACAGTTTGGTAATAGATGCCACATTAAGCAGAAAGCGAGTAAGAGTTTCAACTTTGAAAACACACATTACCAAAGAGACTAGGAATATTGTTGTTTTTTTTTCCCCTTTGCGGCTGGAGTACATCCTTTTTAAATGATATACATAATGAGTTTATAATATGCATCTGGGCTACCTCCTCTCTACTTTGATGTCTTCCAAATGGCCCGGGTGTCATCAACAAAACATGTAGGCACTTTCCTGCCTCATTGACTCCCAAATGTATTTTAAATATCATTCCTGGTAATGCAATTATTTAAAACGCTGAACTAAACACTTACTAATGGGGAAAAAAGACAGCCACTTCGATAAATTCATTTCTCAAATGGTGGGCACTCACATCCCCCCCACCTCCACCCTCCTCTTGTGTGTGTTTCTTCCTCTGTGAAGCGCAGGCAACTCTGATGACAAGAAGAAAGCGTCTGCAGTAGCACCCCGTGCCCTCACAGCCCCCATGTGGACATAGATCTTTGGTTTCCACACATTACCGACCCTCCTTGAGTTTTTTGCTTTGTGGTCAACCTTCCCATCCCCGGGTGAAGAGAGGCTGGACATCAGCAGCAGCCCTGATGAGATTGAGGCACTTCATTTATACAATCATAGGCAATTAGTTCCCTCTGATTACGAGGCCCTTAATGCTATTTTGAGTACTGTGGCACACATTAATACAGGAAGAGATTACACCACACCGAGCAGCCATTTAATATACCGAGAACATAATGAAATGTACACAGTAATTACAGTAATATCAAATGCTAATGGGTCTGCAATTGGGTCTGCTCTTAGTTTAAGATGGAGTCAGAAGTTTGGAGAGAGCATTAGAACAGCAGCGGAGCACTCAATTAACCATCAGGTGCCTCTTATGTTTTATGATTTATAAAATGCCTTTTCAATCAGGAGTTAGGAGTGGAATGTCTGATATCAACTCTGAGCTGGAAAGAGCGCAATTATGATGCAGTTTACATGTTGACGCGCACGTGGAGGGGAGAAGAAGGGAAAACTGGGTCTGAAGTTTGCATGGCGGAGCAACTGCAGGTCGCCATGGAAACATGGTAGGAGATAATGAGGATCTGGCAAGAAGCTGCTGTATGATTTACACCCGCTTGTTCTTACTTTTACGGACAGTGATGTTGTTTTAAGTTACAACAGGTCTTCTGCTCGCAGATCTTCCTCAGATCTCATCCACATGTTGGCGAGGAACGTAAATGAATTTATGGAGGCTGGAGCTGAACAGTAACTCCAAACTATTCAGCAAAGGCATGATTACTTTTTCCTGTTTTCTTTCAGCTCTGACCCCACCGCCCATAATGCATTGTGTCGGTCTTTGCAGATTCCGATTGTCTCAATGCACTGATCACCACGCAAATAACCCCCTGCTTCATCACGACAATTGAAAGGTTCATATTTCAACTTAATAGTCCTTTATAACTTTAACCATCTATCACAACCTCATTTCATTGCGGCGGCAGTTAATACGCGCTTCCCTGCCAAGTGGAACATTTTCTAATGATGCACTCTCACATGAAAACAAGGCAGAGCCATCCCAAGCTCTGCATCACTCACTAATGCATCCATCCATAATGTGTTCATAGCAGTCTGCCTAAAGCACACAGCAATGACTGCCAGTAGGCCGGGCAGGAGAGGGGATATGGAGACGGGTGCAAGACACAGAACCTAAATGGCCATGATAATCATGAGCAAAGTCAGTGCCATCAAAGACTGAATCACCCTCATGATAACATCCGTAGATTTCATATCATTACAAGTAATACTGAGAAACATCGGAAATGAGTTTCTCAACAATAACAGTCAGTGTCGGGAGTCACACCCATGTGCATTATCACAGTGAGACTGGCTTTGTGGGATGTTGATAAGTGCCGTCTAATAGGTGTATGTAAAGCCTGATGTAAACAGCATCCTAATTAGAGAGACCTTTATCTGTTCCTCCGTTTTATGCAGATTGAACTGATGCAAACGCTAGTGTCATTATCTCGCAATCAAGTACTATTCATTGTAGTCTTTAAAAGAGCTGATTAAAATGCATAACAAGGATTCAGTGTTGCATTATTTCCTCTGTCAGTTTATAAATATGTCATTTTAGGGGTTAACTGAATAATGGTCTTTGTCAGTGCCTATGTGAACATCAGAGGTGAAAGAGATTAATTTAAAAGAACATTTTATTCCTTCATGTGGAAATACTGGATGGCATCTTGCAAACACTTCTGGACTTCGTTTTATCTTTTTCTGCTTGAAGACAACTTCTGGAAAAGATTTAAAATAAATCCAGATGTTCCATTTGTCTGATTCGCAAATTAGAAGTGTCCCTCTTGGTGCAACCAAAGTCTACTGTATACAAAGACTTAAGCCCAACTAATGTGGAGATTGTTAGAACCGACAATTTCAAAAATGGCAAACCAGAAATTTGTGCGCTTTCTGCTGAATTTAATGCCTTATGGACATTTTAATTTTGAGATAAAAGCTGAGCTCATAGGTCATTCCAAAGACAAAAATGCACAATACCCAGCTAATTTTTAATTTTGAAAGCTGTTCTTCAAAAACAAGTTTAATAAAAGGTTTCAGAATTTTTTTTTTTTTTTAAATAGGTTTCAACAGCTTAGGATGGAATTTCAGGTTCACTCTGCAGACACAGAATCACAATATTGAAACAGCCACCTGTTCATTTCTGCACCTGTTCAAGCCACTTTGCTCTCAGCAAAAACAGGTGCTGCCATCAAAAAAAGTGGATCATTTTAAACAAGGAGCAGGATTAAGCATTAAAACTGATGTCAAGTTTCTTCTAACAAGATTAATGTTCCAGTATTAGTTTTTCCAGATCAGCAAGGAGAAAAAAAAAAAAAAAAAAAAAAAAAAAAAAAAACCTGGAGGCAAAAATTCAAGCTTTTGAGTTTAATAAATCTTCTGCATGCATGATAGATGACACAATTACAGTACCATTTCACAGCAAAGACTCAAATGCTTTGCAATGCATTTATATACAAAATAAAATAAAAAAAAGTTTCAGTGCTGAATTATATCCCACACTTAACACAAAATTTAAAGTTACAGTCCACAATGATAATTATTCTGCATCCTAAAAAACAAACAAAAAAAAACCTAATGCTTGATAAAATGAGCTTCAAGTAATACAGTACTATGGGCAACACGTGCACATCCACAGGGACCGTTTCTCTCCAAAAATCTCAGTACATTGTCGCCCTCTAGTGGCCAAAGTGATTAAGTACAAAAAAAAGTGGGTTAAAAACAATGGGGGTTTGGGGGAAAGAAATAAACCAGCATTGTGCATTTATTTTAGTGTCCAGTAGGTGCAAAAACAAACAAACAAACAAAAAAAAAACACCCACTAAATCAAGTGAAGTCTGTTTCAGTTCATTGTTCACTTGGAGCTGGTGTACTTGGTCACGGCCTTGGTGCCCTCGGACACGGCGTGCTTGGCCAGCTCCCCGGGCAGCAGGAGGCGCACGGCGGTCTGCACCTCCCTGCTGGTGATGGTGGAGCGCTTGTTGTACTGGGCCAGCCGGGACGCCTCCGTGGCGATCCTCTCGAACAGGTCGTTCACGAAGGAGTTCATGATGCTCATGGCTCTGCTGGAGATGCCCGTGTCCGGGTGGACCTGCAAGCAAAGTTTCAAATGAAAGGATGAGAGCTCAACACCAGACAAAGCACAGCTCAGCGCGCGCCGCCTCCGCCCACCTGTTTTAAAACTTTATAGATGTACATGGCGTAAGTCTCCCTCCTTTTCGCTTTTCTCTTCGCTTTTTTATCGCCTGAATTCTTCCCCTTCTTCTTGGATATGTCGTTACTCATGTTTTAGCTGTAAAATGATATTTCCTGAACCGTGTAGAAGTACTTCTAGGTTTCAGATTCGGAGTTTGCAGCTTAAATATCTTCCCTAATCAGAGTCTAATTTAACTCACCTGGTTTACACGCGGTTTTACTTTAAGGCGGATGTAACAATGAGATCAAACTGTTGCCAGAGTCCTATTTGAGAATGATAATTGAGTGTGGTTACATTTTATTTTAGTATTTTGTGTTGGATTTTGTCTCATAGAACTTGTTTTTATTTCAGCACTATGTACACTGCTGCACTTACAAATTTTAACCACTGGGTGGCGCTCTTGTATTACTTATAAAGGCTAAACCAGTAACTTATGATCGGCGGCTCTAAGCTTTGACCAAAACAGGAAATTGAATTGTTCTGGTTTTTATACCCACAGCAAAAAAATTCTAGTTTTGGCTCTTATTTATTTATTGTAAAATTTCTGCAAATGTTTGAACATTTTTTTGCTTTATTCCTTCCAACTGGGATACTTAATTTCTCCTCACAGAAAAGGCCACATATAGGCCTGCAGAGTTCAGTGTTTTCATTTTCAGCTAAAGGTAGAAACGACGTTTTTACTTCTTTGCATCATAGTTATTTTTTGTCCCAAAATGTTGAAATATCAATAAATGTTGAAACTCGTTATTGATTATTAGTTTTAAAATGTCACCCCCACTGGTTCATGGGCCCATCGGCCACAAATTGATCATCACAGTTGTAGCAGCCTTCGTGGCTCCAGGCTCTTTATTATTTAATGAGTGAAGGGGCAGAAATGACTCTTTGATCTAAAAGGTTGCAGACCCCTGGACTAAATGAAGCATCACAAAGTCATAATTGAATCCGCTTCAATTTTCACATGGCTTATAGGCAAAATAAATTAAAAACTCCTTATTTATTTAAGACACAACTGGGCAAAATTGACCTATATCAAATGAGCCGGGATCCCCATAAAATCAATTAAATGTTGTGTTTATCAGAAGTGGTTTAAATTATCTGTCTGAACAGAGTTGGGTTAGTTATATTTGACACAAATATTATGAACTAAGGTGAGTCTTAAGGTTGGTGGTTTTCCAGATGTTCAAAGTGTGTGAACTGGGCTTTATACAAGATATATCACGACATAAGTTCAGCCAGATATGATCAACAACCAGATTTATTGGCTAAAATCACTCATGTGACTAAATTGTTTTTACAATACAATACAACAGCCCAATCGTTTACAAGTAATTCTGATATGTGCCTGCCTCAGCAAATATTAAATGAAAACTCCTGTTACAAACACAACCTCTGAACACAGTCTCTTTGAGCTCTAATTGCAACGCCTGAACTCTTTCATCACTGCGTTGACATTTATTGACGATTTATTGACATTTTCCTGAAAATATATACAATAAATCTGAACACTTTCTAACCACGTCCTTGTCAGATTCCTTCCACATCATAAATATTTGTTAACGCAGCAGAGTTGAGCTCACATTTGTCTCGTTTAAATGTGCCCGTTTGATAAAGAACACAGAACGTTAGAGTGGAAATGGAGCTGTTTGTTTAGTAATGACATGTCTAGTCTCTAAGCTTGCATGCTTTGATTTTTGACTCCTCTCAAGCTGTCGTTTGTCTGTGCTGTCTGATTTGTTGCTGAGCTGCAGGCCCCGACTCCTTTATCTTCACCACTGTGTTTGACTGGTTAAGGCCCAACGCAGTGCAACAAAATGATCTGACTTCTGTCTTCTAACAGACCCTCACATGTCCCAAACTGTTCCACATGAATGTTTATGGAGCATTCACACTATTGTGATCCATTTTTCTTCTGTACGTTTTTCAGCACGATTCTCGTTCCGCTGTTTTTGTGCTATTTCAACAAATCATGCATCAAAACGTTCAGCTCTTTCAGGACAATCCTGCTATGACTTTTGGTATTGGTGCAACTTTAGCTTTTTGACATATTTCCTTTTCTTTTTTTTTTCTCTAGAAAATGAATTGAGCTCATTTTACATCCTTCATATCTGTAAATCTGTTTACAACCTTGCACTGCTCCTTTCACATTTTGCTCTGGTTTGGCTTCTTTCAGCTTCCTTGTGCAAATTTAACCTTTTTTTCAGCTACTTTCAGCTGTTTGTCAGCTGTTTGTCAGCTGTTTGGCGCTCCTTTCAGATTCTTTCTGCTAACTACAACATGTTTGTGCTTCTTCTACATTATTTCAGCTAATTTTAGCTGGTTATACTCCTTTTAGCTTATTTCAGCAAGTTTCAGCTTTTTCTATTTCTGTTACGATTTAGCTGTTTTTATGCTAATTTAAGCTTTTTCATTTTTAGCACTCCATTCAACTTTTTTCAGCCTAATTCAGCAAATATGTGCTCTCTTATCTCCATTCTGGTAATTTGAGCTTATTTAACTTTTTAGCTATGTTTCAGCTGTTCTTTGCTAATGTCAGGGGTATTTTTTCTCAGATAATTTTCACTTTTTGTGCTCATTTCTGCTTCTTTCAGCAAACGTGTTCTTTGTGCTTTATTCTGCTAATTTAAGCTTGTTCTTACCTGTTCAGCTATCTTTTTTAGCATTTTTTTAGCTACTTTTAGCTGTGGTCAGATAAATTAAATTTTTTTTGTGGTAATTTCTGCTACTTTCAGTCAAATTAACTTATTTATGTTAATTCCAGCTTGCTATTCTCCTTGAAGATTATTTTTGCTAGTTTTAACATTTTCTGTTATTTCAGCTACTATTTAGCTGTTTTATGCTAAATGTAACTTTTTCAGCTAATTCCATATTCTTGGAGCTCATTTCAGCTTAGGCTTCTTTTGACCTTTTCAGCTACTTTTGCTAATTTCTTTTTTTTTTTTTTTGGCTTATTTCCTAATTTTTTGTGCTAATTTCTGCTTATTTAAACCCAAATCAGCAAATATGTGTTTTTTCTGCTTTCTTCTGCTAATTTAGGCTTGCTCATCCATTTCAGCTACATTTCAGCATTTTTTCTTTAGCTTATTTCAGCTCTTTTTCAGCAAGTTCTTCTGCAATAAGCATTCACATTGCATTTGTGCAGGAAATGAAAATTCTCTAGTTTATAATTAATTCACAATAAAAATGCTTTAAGTTAGTTAACTATTGACACATATGTGATCACTGTTGTCAAATCTTCATATTGCACATTTCCAGCCTGTGTCCTAACACTTCTTGTTAGTTCTCCACATGCTCGCATAGGGCAGCAGAGAAGCTGTGAATAGACGTGCTTTTAAAGAAAGGATTTATGCAAGGCCATTTGCAGCAGCTGCCACACACATTTAATAGCAGCTGTTGACTATAAGGCCATTTTGTCGTGGGTTTCTGGCACATATTTTCCGTTGAGGTGTTTTATATGTGAAAAGGGGGAAAAGATAAAGAGAAAAGGTGAATGTGTCTGCAAATCTGCTGCCTTGCATCATCTGACTGTCACACAAACAGGAAAATGTTGTTGATCACAACCTTTCATATAATTTAATACACTCCTTTGGTTTTCTTTCTTTCGTTCTTTCTTTTTTCTTTCTTTCGTTCTCTCTTTCGTTCTTTCAAGAACAAAGCCTCTCAGTGCTTTGTCTTGTTATGGCTCTGGCAACAGCAACTGTTTCACAGCTTTGAATACAACTGTGTGTTTGTGTGAATATGCTCACACCCAACCATATGCTGGAGCTTTTTATTTTTATATTTTTAATTAATTTATCTCCTTGAGAAATAGTCAAATCAAAATCTTTCACTTCTTCATATGATTTTAGTACTGATATTAACTTTGCCAATAAATGAGCTGGTACTCACTTCCAGAAAAACATAGTTCTGTTGATCCCTGAAATATGTTTTTATGGTTGTGCTTGTGTTTTTGAACCCAGAGAAAACCGTTATCAGTGGGTTGATTGTAGACTCTAATCATATTCCCTTTTCACTCTGAACAACCCAAGCCTGCATTTAGTTCTTTTTTAAAACACACTACAGTAATTGGATGTTTTCCACACTACGTTTTTTAATCTCGTCTTTTTTCAGCAGCCTTTCTTCTCTGAAGTAAATGAACATTAGCCCCAAAACAAGTAATTTAATTATTAAAAAGAGATGCCCAAGGTCAATTAAATTCGATGAATGAAGCAACTGAGCAGCTGAAGATGAAGACAGTGAGCAGATGTTGTGAAAACTCAAGACTAAGTTAATCAAGTTTCAGTATTTTAAAATAATTTCTGGAAAAACAATGTACGGTATTTTTCGCCGTATAAGTCACACCTTTTTGCATAAATTTGCAAGTCCTGCGACTTATACACTGAAGTGACTAATATACATTTTTCCCCATATTTATAATATTTTTGTCTGAGATCTGATGATTTCATTCATTCTGACATGGAAAATACTGAACACTACCATTTTCAGCCGCTAGAGGGCCCTCGGCTATTATGACAAGCCGAGTGTCTCATTAATACGTAAAAGTGGCTATTAATGAGACACTTGACTTGCCATACCGCCAACTTCCTCTCGCTCCGGAACTACTGGAGCAAATGTCAAATCAGCTGCATTTTGTCGTGCTGCCCAGGCAAAATTCAGCTGATTTGACCCTTAAAGTGCATTTATTAAGGAAAAGTTCAACTGAGACACACCTTTACTATAATGTCGTGGAAACAAACAATTGTTTTTAGGTGGTTATCTTGTTAAATTTAGAAGAAATGCACAGCGAGTCCTTCTGCCGCAGCTGCAAAACCATTTTTGACATGCAGCTGATTTGATCATTAAAGTGCATTTATTAAGGAAATGTTAAACTCAGACACACCTTTGCAATAATTTCTAGCAAACAAATAATTGTTTTTAAGTGTTAATCTTGTTAAAGTCCGCCCGTGCACGCTCCCGTGGCCACCATTTGGCAGTCAGTCGATTTTTGGCACAACACCGGCCCACGTTTCTGGGTTGTCAGCAGTGATGCATAATAGATGCGACTTCTGTGACTTATTTATGTTTTTTTCCCACTTTATTTGACATTTTTGGACTGATTTGACTTATACGGCGGTGCGATAAATACGGCGGCAAGTAGGTTGTTAGTTTGAGTTTAAAAAGGGATTAGTCTGTA